CTTTTTTCATTCTCAGCAAACTGGAGTAACTTGCATCCAGTCAAACCAGTCAAACCAGTAGCAAAGAAAGGAGAAGAGGTAGAAACTTGACCTTCCCAGTAGGTTCAGGCTACTGCCACAGTTTCCCCATAGCCTTTTCATTCTTCCTAATTCTTCCCATCCTGACTGGATTGATATTGCTTGACCACATTTGTTCTAGTTTACATCTGTGAAATATTGGAAGAGATGCAAACAAGTAATTACAGGAAGAATATACACAAATTTCTCCTCCTCCTCCTCCTCCTCCTCCAAACATGGGTCTAAACTTGTCTTTTTTATGGCTGACTGTAATTTACAATGCCAACCTTATTGCAAAGAGAAGTAGCAAAGATGTGAGTGTTTTTGAGTCAGTGTGATTTATAAAGGATTAATCTGGCTGCAGTTCAAAGGGTGCTTATAACTAAAGAAATCCAGATCCTACTGAAGTGTATGGGATTTAAATCGGTCTGTTTCGAGTCTCCATGGTCCAGTATGTAAGACACATATAAAGTGACTGCATTGCTGCTTGCCAGATATGTTTTTTCTTCTGTTCCCAAGTCCATGTTCTGTTTCAAACACCCTCAGTAACCTTGGCAGCTTTAGAAACAGGCCTTTGTCTCCATGCTTTGCAAAATTGCAGAGACAGATGCTAAGAGATTTCCTCTTCAATAAGAAGACAATAAACCCTGATGAAGAGTATTTGCATAATTGAGATAGAAAACCTTAAAGACCAGTCAGAAAACTCTGATTATGTCCAGAAGCATTCTTATTATTCTTTAAAAGTTCATCCTTTGGCTCGAATATTTTTGTCTCTTTGGGCTGGAAAGAGGTGGAACAAAGTAAAGAGGAAGGCCACTTTGCCTGTAGGACATCACAATACCATGCCCTCCAACATTTCAGTGATGAAAACTGGGACATGGATGGTCAAGAAACCTTAGAGTGTGGTCTAGATAACAAACGTGTTTAATGAGGAAGAATACACAAGCTAGGAGATACTCCTTTTTTGTAGCCTTCTGAAAGGAACAGACAGTGCCCTCTCAGTTCCTTTTACCCTTGCTGAGTTTATTGAGTGTAAGCAAGGGCCCTAAAACTCTGAGTTTGATCACAAGTAGCTCCTGGAGATCAAGATGACATCCAGATATATGTAGTTTGTAATGTTATCTAAAACGTATTTTACTTCTCATTATGAGACATTGGGGAATGCTCTGGGGTTTTGGTGAATCTTCTCACAGCCCCTTACTTCATAGCTAATGTGGATAGCTAAGTGAGTTCTAATCTGAACTAATCTGATGTCCACACAGCCAGCACCAACATCTCCTTCCCATGCAGTCCATGGTGCTAGAAAAAAGAGCACCTCCATCACTCGGACCTTTGTCACCACCTTGTTGCTACGGCAGATGATCATGAAGCTAAGGAGATCTCCTGCTCATTGACAGGTGCCTTGACTGACACCAGCAAAGGAATTTGATGTTGTTTAGGAGCCTTCGAAGCTCCATGGTGGTCCAGTGATAATGACAGGGGACTGCCAAGACAAGAGGGCAATGCTGTAAAACAAACAAGTGTAGACACCATTGGATGCTTTTAAATTTCACCTCATTGTGGGAGAAGATGGGAATGTAGTGACCATAAGACCAGTCCTAGGTATTGCTAGTCAGAACCAGCCTCAGATTCAGCAGTACATGTACATTTTACACTTTGAACTCAGTTTGCAATAACCAAAGTGAACTGAGGGTAACAGAGGTGGAAAGAGAAACTGGGACATTTTAGAAATAGTTTAAAAAGTGGGACTGTCCTGGGCAAATCAAGACAGAAAAAATGCATTCCATAGCAAGAAATATTTGCGGTGGGGGAGGAGGATATATTCCTGTTCCTTTATTAAGAGCCACAATGATCTCCACATGGAAACTTGATTTCAAAGGGCCTTACATAAAACAAAAGGTTATATAAGTTGTTGTTATGTGTACACTGTAGACCCAATTATTGTAGATTGTATCTGATGGCCTACATAACAACATACTTCTTTGCATCTGTTTTGAGATCAGTGGTTCCCAACCTTTCATCCTCCAGGTGTTTGAAGGCTTCAACTTCCAGAAGCCCCAGCCAATTAGGGCAGCTGTCAGTAGTTTGAGAATGTAAAGCCAAAACACCTGGGTGAACCATAAGTTGGGAACAACTGATCTAGCTCTTGTGGGATGTTCTAGAGCCAAAGCCAAAGCAGTGTTACAGCATTCTAAACAGCTCAACCTTCTGACTTGGATGAGACCAAAACCCTTGAAATGTCCTAATTTTTGTATCCTTCTCCCAACTTCTCCCTCTCTCTTTGACTTATTTCATCTATGAAATATTGGAGGATATGGAAATGGAATTCTATTGCTCTGCCCTTGGCATTGTCTGTTTCCAGCTCCCTCCTCATTTAAATTTATGACTTTTAGCCTTTGGACCCTCCCTTCCCTAGCCTCTGGCTTCTATACTTTTTTGTTGTAGGAGAACTGGATGTAACTCCTGTGCTGTGCTAAACTCTCTTAAGCCAGTACCGAGATGATGGAAACCCTACTTAGATTCCTCACACAGGCTGAAGGGTGAGACGACATTAACCAAGGCACAGCACTCTCTGACAACCCACTACAGTTAAATACAATTTAATCATATTGGCTGAAAATTATTTATTCAGAGCTTCCTCTGACCTCCAGATCCACACAGTTGCTCAAGAATGTCTCCCAGGTGCTTCAAGGCTGCCAGAGTTTAGATCCAGTTGTCATATCCTTGATTTTGACTCATATGTCTCTTTCTGATACCCTTCATTTGCTCTTTGATTCCTGGGCCTTTAATAATGCAACAAAGCCAATAAGCTTAGAGAATTATTACTAGTACTATCAATAGTAGTAATATTATAAAATGCTTGTGTCTGCTAAGATGGATTCTGCTCTGACATTTTGCCTGCTGATCTCTTTACAATGCCTTTATATTATTTATTGTACTTCTTACATTTAGATGTCCTTTGTCAGCCACCAAGCTCTCAAGGTGGTTTGCAACAACAAATACAGCTGATAAACTAAAGCAATCTTTGATTTTTTTTTCCATGTTATACAAAGGACATCATTTTATCATACTGTTGTATGTATTGGTCCTGGAACCATTAGATACTAAGGACCCACTGGTGTATAGCTCGTGTTTTCACCCTTCCTTCATCCCTGATCCAGGAGAAGAAAGGAAGTCCACCCACCGCATGGTCTTCAGCCTCTTCTGCCATGTTACTTTCTTCTCTTGGGAAAATTGATAAGCAGAGGGCAGGAAAGGACAGCTATCCCGTCCCCCTGGGCTGCTTGAGCAAGAGATGACTGTCAAGACACCCACCTTCAATTCCACATAGAAATCAGTGGTGAACATCTGCACTGCCCAAATACAGAGGAAAGCCTAAATCCTGATGCAGGATGCATTAAGCAGCTTTCCCAGGGTTAAACTGGATCAGCCTGTTTATGTTTCATATACACATGCAGCCTGATTTGAGCACTTCTAGCATGACTTAGATGGTCAGTGTAGAAGTAAGTGCCCAAAGAAGGTTGTTCCAAATCTGGGTTTGGTTTCAGTAGAATGCTGGGGAGGGGACCATGAAGGAAGAAGTTTCAAGCCTGGATATTTTGAATGGGAAGATGAGGAGAGGCTTAAGAAGAAAATGCTATACAACCTGAATGTTACTTTGATGAGAAGGTGGGTAATGGAACAAGAAAAAAGGGATTTCTAGCCTGAATGTTGCTTTTATGGGAAGATGGAAAGGGGAGCAATGGAGGAAGGAGTTTCAACCCAGGCGTTGTGTTGATGTGAAGGTGAGGAGAGGAGTGATAAAAGGAAGAATTTAAATTTTTTATAAGTATTAGATGGGAATGTGGGAAAGGAAGTGAGGGACTGGTTCTGTTAGAAAGAGCAGTGGAGAGCTAGGGAAGCAGAAAGATTGGGGTGAGGAGAAGGAACTAAACAGTTGCTACAAATTCCTGAATAGTCAAATCCATAAAAGTAAAACATGGAAATGTAGAGGGTCTACTGTAGTCATTTGAACAAAAATAGTAGTTAAGACACATCAGTTCATCCACTAGGATAAAACCTGGAGGAACACATTGCTATAGTTTTATGGCAAAACTCAGGCCTGGGGGCCGGATGCAGCTCTTTTCTCAGGCCCTTTTCTCTTTCACCTTCCCATAAGCATGAGGACCTGGGGATCCGCCCAACAAGTCACACACAGTGCAGCACCAGCCCCAGGCAGAAGCCTCTTCCCAGCCTGCACCTTGACCTCCACGGGACTTAGCTGGTCCTCATTGGTGCATGTGGAGCCAGTGTGTTCCCTTTCTTCCAGACCTCCATCCCTGGCAACAAGGAGGATGGCTCCTCTTCCACCTTCTCTGCTGCCACCACCCTCCTCAAGGGCAAGTTCCTCCTTGGAAAGAACAACAACAGGCGCAGGAGCGAAGGGAAGGAGAGCCTAGACAGCTGCATGCCCAGGTGGTGGCGGTGGTGGAGGAGGGAGAGGAGGAAGATGAGCTGCCCTCCTTGTCACTGAGGGCAGAGGCCAAGAAGAAGGGGAATATGCTGGTAAAAAGAAGCTGAGTCCCATGGCAGTGGAGGCCAAGGTGCAGGCCAGGAAGAGTCTCTGCCCAGGGCCCGTGCTTCTGAGCACAACTTCCTGGGTGAGGCCATGGACCAGGCAAACTGCAGTGTTTGAAACCCTCCTCTCCCTATACTACCCCCTGCCTCCCCACTCTCTCCCTGGCTCACCCACCCCGCTCCAGCCCACCATGTGGCCCGCAAATTAAAAGCTTTGCCCATGCCTGTTGGTCCAAGAGGCAAAAGGATATATAGTCAATTGACAGCAAATTAGTTCAACATTAAACTGGAAAGCGGCTTGAATTTTTTGTAGGGACGCTTTGTCACTCACATGCAGCTATCTTCTTTTCTGATCCAACTCACTTTCCTCTCATTCCTAATTTTAGGTTGTACCAGGTGAATTTCGATGCTCCCACCTGTGAAGGCAAACGAGAAAAGCTCTCACTAATAGGCGACTTTTCTTCTTCTGCGGAATTCTTTGTCACTATTGCAGTCTTTGCTTTCCTCTACTCCTTGGCAGCCACGGTGGTTTACATTTTCTTCCAGAACAAATACCGTGAAAACAACAGGGGACCTTTGATTGTAAGTGTGTGTTGCCTCAATGAGGACAGCTTAATCCCATGTATTGATTTATTTGTTTCGCTTTACTCTTTTAATGTCCTCTCTTTTGTTAGTATGCTTCCAATTGTAGTGCTAGGGTATATAAGAGATAGACAAATAAATAAAATATCTGTATCTAAATTTGATAAATTATATATACATTCTTCCATGCAAGATCCTATCTACACTGCCATATAGACAAGTTTTTGAATCCAGATTATTTGATTTGAACTAGATTATATGGCAGTGTAGACTCATATAATCCATTTCAAAGCAGATCATGTGGATTCAGAAACTGAGCTATATGGCAGTGTAGATCCAGTCCAAGTTCTCAGACAATACCACTGAATACAGCAAGGAGGAATGCAAAAGAGAGGAATGAACAACAACTTTTCTAAGTGCCACTGTTCTAAAACTGCTCGTTTCTCAGCTGGTCAGCCTCTGCTTAAGACAAAATCCCATTGTTAAGCCAAACAAGAGTACACCCATTGAATTAATCAAACTTTCTTAGTAAGTTAACACTGATTCAGTGAGTTTACTCTAGTCAGGCCCATAACCAGGATTTTGATTCGGGGGGGGGGGGGGGGGCTGAGTCTGAGTGAAAGAGGGTCTACCCTAGCAAACCTTTTGTATCATTACCCCAATGCCCCCATGCATATGAGATATATTGAACATGGTGATCAGATCATGATATGAATAAACATAACAGTTTAAATAATGTACCAGTAAGGCCTTTTTGCAGACCTCCATGAGAATTGGGGGAGGGGCTGAAGCCCTCCAAGCCCCCCCCCCCCTCGGCTACATACCTGACTCTAGTGTGTACTAATAACAGGATATAGGTCTTTTGCAGTCACTGCTGAGAGTAGGAATCTTAATCCCTCTTCCGTTCCCCCAGGTGCTCCTACATGCTTCAGTATGGCAAGTAAGTATGAAAATATATTAAAATCTCCAGTGGAGAGGGGAGCAACAGAGGAAGAAACATTTCAGTGCACCTTTCAGGAGTTTTGCCATTTTTAAGCAGTAGTCAAGAGAGAAGGAGGTGCATTTGTTAATTGCAACACAAAATAATATAGGGTTGTTAGCATAGTAATTGGATGACGTGTTCTCAATATAAAACAAATGCCCCCCCAATGCACCTTGAGACTCATTTAATATAGGATGTAGTATCAATACTGGGAATACAGAAATTTCAATTTCCCCAAAGCAACAAAACTCCTTTAAAACATTTCAGTAATTAAAAAAAGAAAAGCACTGCCAAGAGTATTAATGATTCCATTGCATAAATTATTCATCGAGCGATAAATAGTATGTATTATCAAAGGCTTTCATGGCTGGAATCACTGGGTTGTTGTAGGCTTTTTTGGGCTATATGGCCATGTTCTAGAGGCATTCTTTCCTGACATTTCGCCTGCATCTATGGCAAGCATCCTCAGAGGTAGCAAGGTCTGTTGGAACTAGGAAAAAGGGTGTATATATCTGTGGAATGACCAGGGTGGGACAAAGAACTCTTGTCTGCTGGAGCTAGGTGTGAATGTTTCAACTGTGCTCCTGTGCTCATCAACTCAGGTGTCCTGTGGGATATCTCCTTTGACAGTTACATGGCAAAGAACCAAGTAGAGAGGCTACTGGCCATATGGTAGGTCCCCATCATCCTTGTAGCGGGCAGCCACAGGGTGGGAGAAGGGGTGAAAATCAGGCCCTTGCCCAGTGGCACTGAACCAGCTTCAGCATAGCTGGGTAGTGAAGAAGCCCTCCCACCACCAATGTGGTTCAGGATGCCCCTGTTTGGGCACAATGCAGGCTGAAGAGGTGTTTCCACAGTGATCCAACCCCACATTATCATTCTGTGTAATACCACCCTGAAACTTCTGATGGAATATTGGTTGCAAGGAGAGAACATGGGTAGGGGAAATATTCCCTAAGATACTTTAAAGAGTGGAGATAGTGAGAGGCCTGAATCTTTTTTACCAAACTGTTCTCTCTTAAGGCATGAAGGGTGGGACAAAAAACTCTTGTCTGCTGGAGCTAGGTATGAATGTTCCAACTGACCACCTTGATTAGCATTTGATAGCCTGGCAGTAGCCTGGCAGTGCCTGGGGCAATATTTTGTTGAAAGATGATTAGATGTCCCAGATTGTTTCCTCTCTCCTGTTTTGCTGTTGTAATTTTAGAGTTTTTTTTTAATACTGGTAGCCAGATTTTGTTCATTTTCATGGTTTCCTCCTTTCTGTTGAAATTGTCCACATGCTTGTGGATTTCAATGGTTTCTCTGTGTAGTCTGACATGGTGGTTGTTAGAGTGGCCCAGCATTTCTGTGTTCTCAAATAATATGTTGTGTCCAGGTTGGTTCATCAGGTGCTCTACTATAGCTGACTTGTCTGGTTGAAGTAGTCTGCAGTGCCTTTCATGTTCCTTGATTCGTGTTTGGGCGCTGCGTTTGGTGGTCCCTATGTAGACTTGTCCACAGCTGCATGAGAGAACACAACATACAAACTATCTACAGACCCACCAAGAAAATCCAACATATGCTACGTTCAGCAAAGGGTAAGAGGGATCCTCTCACTTCTGCAGGAGTCTATCGGATACCATGCAGCTCTGGACAAGTCTACATAGGGACCACCAAACGCAGTGCCCAAACACGAAGAGCGTCCAACAAACACTGTGCTGGCCCTCAATTCAACACTGGATCCATTAAACATTTTTCTAGCAATCTCCATCCCCAACAAGTACCTGTCTTCTGTTAAGTTTAATGGAATTTGCCCATTCAAAAGCAAGCTCACAGCTCCCCAATGTCCCCTCCTAAATCCTAGTGGGTCTTGCATCATAATTTGTGTTCATTGGCTGCCATTTCCTGTTCTATCTCAGGCATCAAGCATCTTGGGTTGGCTCTTCCTACATTAATTGGACAGAATTCCTTTGGAAATATGATATAACTTTTGGATTATGAAGTATTTTAGAGCAGCGAGCAGTAGTTGGTGGGGTTACATAGGAAGCTTCCTGCTCCAAGCCCTTTGGGAACCATCACACTAGCTTCCTTTCTGGACAGTGGCAATGTTCTTTAATGACAGTCTCCCCTTGCCTCCATTCTCCATGGCACCTAGAGCCAGTTTACTTCTGCCACCAAATTTTCCTCTATGCCACTGACACTGCCTAGTTACATCAGCCAATGGGATTGTGACAATTTATTTTATTGTAATGTCTTATTTTTTTTTTACCATTACTTTGCTGTTTTCATGTTTATTAATTGGAAATTGGTGGACAGTACCAAGAATGAATCACTTGCTAGATATGGTTTTCTCTGATAGAGTTTGTGGCATCCTGCACCTATTTGACTAACTTGGGCAGACACAGTTCATTTTTGCAGGTCTATTATTATTATTATTATTATTATTATTATTATTATTATTATTATTATTACCCCACTTTATCTCTCTCAGAGATTAAAAAACCCTGTGAAAGTGGAAGAACCACAATTACCTGTTTTTAATCTGAGATAATGTCTCCCTATAAATAACTAGTTCCTGCACGGGCAATTCTGTGGCCATCTTCTACTCAATGTTGATCATAGAATTGCTGTGAGTGGCTTAAAGATTTCTAGAGAAATTTTTTCTAGGTCCCCAGACATGACCATGTGGTCACCTTCTGGTGGAGAGAACATATTAATGAAATCCACAAATAATCTTATCTACAAGAGGTAAATGTTGAGGGCCAGCTATATATATTGAGCCCCAGGTGGTGCAATGGGTTAAACCCTTGTGCCGACAGGACTGAAGACCGACAGGTCATAGGTTCGAATCAGGGGAGAGCGCGGATGAGCTCCCTTTGTCAGCTCCAGCTCCCTGTCCAGGGACATGAGAGAAGCCTCCCACAAGGATAGTAAAAAATAAAAAAAACATCCAGGCATCCCCTGGGCAACGTCCTTGCAGACAGTCAATTATCTCACACCACGAAAAATACTCTGCATATATTGGTTTTACCAATTATGTTTTAAGGAGAAAGAAAGAGTGTCAAACCTGCCTTGGTACAAGCCCTGAGCCTGCTTTCCTTAGTGTACTGCATTTTAATAGGGCTATGTAGATGTAGATGAAAACATGTTCAAGATCTCAACAGGCCACATTCATTTATATAGACAACTGTGATGACAGTGGGTGTACAATCTACTACATGTTTTTGTTTTAGTTTTTTTAATGACATTTTGGAGTCAGACTAATAGCCTGAACATTCTGACACTCTTTTGACTCCATTATCTTCAGGAAAAATAATCCTGATTAACAGAGGTGCCATGGCTGACTCATCTATTTTCAGTAATTTATTTCTAATTCATACACATAAAATACACAACAGCAGTAAGCCCTGCAAATACTATAGTTGTGACATTTTGATTACTTACAATGTGTGAAAATAATTATAATAGTTATGACAGTCTGCACAACTCAGACTTACATTTCCATACAGTCTCAGGGGGAAACATATACAAATAATCAAAAAGGTGTGTTAATGGAAGCTTGTTTATTTATTTACTCCCCTGCCATATTTCCCTCATTATACTGAGTTCTTATTCATGCTTTCACCCTGAAAAACAAAATAGGCTGAGGAATAATGAAATGCTAGAGACCACCGCTCCCCCTATTCAACTTTATTTTACTAGTAGGGTGGCCAGAATGTTGCAGACACCAGCAATGAAAGGTAGAAATGACCCCTAAAGTACTCTACAACCCCTTTCTTAAGAAATCTGAGAACAAAATCTCTCAACTCCAAAATAACCCAGATACCACCATTACCACATAGTCAAACTGGGGTATAAAGTGCCACATGTTGTTGCTAACTGCTATTAAGTCATCTTCACTTTATGATGACCTCCAAGTCCCCCTCTCATCACCCACCCAGCTCAGATCTTGCAGATTCATAGCCATGGCTTCCTTAATTGATTCAATCCATCTGTAATACAGCCCTTTTCTTTTTCTACTTCTTTTACCTTACCAAGCATCATTGTCTTTTAGACAGAGTTGTGTCTTCTCATGCTGTGTCCAAAATACAGCACTCTCAGTTTAGTCATCTTGGCTTCTAGGGAGAGTTCAGGCCTGATTTACTCTGGGACCTATTTATTTGTCTTTGTGGCACTCCAGATATCCATAGAATTCTCCTCCAGCACCACATCTCAATTGAGTTGATTTTCTTCCTATCAGCTTTCTTCTCTGTCCAATTTTCACAACCAAGGAATCATTGCCGAGCCAAATTCAAGTTGCTAAGGCAAATTCAAGGTGCAGGTCATGACCTATAAAGCCCTAAACGGTTCAGGCCCCACCTATCTTCGCGATCGCATCTCCTTCTGTGAACCAGCACAAACTCTAAGATCTTCCAGGGATGCTCTTCTCTCACTCCCACCACTGTCACAAGTGCAGTTGGTGGGGATAAGAGAGAGGACCATCTTGGTGGTGGCCCACCATCTTTGGAACACCCTCCCAAGGGAAATAAGACAGGCTCCACCCCTCTCCTCTTTTCGCAAGAGCTTGAGGACTTGATGGTTTCACCAGGCCTTTGAGAATGACTAGTACTAGTCCTAGCCCTTAGTCACTGTTACAATCTGGCCAGCTTTTGCATGAAGAATAGAGAAGAACTGTTTTTTAGTGTATATGTGTTGTTTGATAATTTTATGCTTATGTTTCTTTACTCACTTTGTATGCTTTGGTGTTTTGTTATATGGAAACCGCCCTGAGTCCCTTAGGGGAGATAGAGCGGTATATACATGAAGTTTTATTATTTATTATATCATGGATAGACAACTGCAAGCATTCTTAGAGACAGTGATTATTTGAATAAATTTCAATGTGGGTTTTGGTCTAACTTTGGAATTGTCTCAGTCCTGGTTGCCCTGGTGGAGAAAGGAACCAAGGGCACTGCAATCTCATTGCTCACTATTTATTAGTGGCTTTTCTACCATTGGCCACAGCATTCACCTTGAGTGTGTATCTAACATGAGGATCAGAGACTCTTTATAACAGAGGTCTAAAGGCCAAACTAAGGATTATGAACCCAGGGCCCATGGAACGCTGGGTATGCCTCATTTTTATATGAAGCAACTTGAATCAGTTATTCAGAGATATGAAGCAAGATGTCCCCAAAATGAAAGATAGCTCTGTTTCTCCGTAAGGTCTGAATCAATTGGATAAAATAATGGAGTAGATGAAAGCTGGTGAACTCAGCCTATATTCTACAACCAACATGGTTTGAGTGTTGAAGTAGGACTCTGGTGACCAGGCTTTGAGTTTCTGCTCAGCCATGGAAACCCACTGGGTGATCTTGGGTAAATCACTCTCTCTCAGTTTCAGAAGAAAATCTCTTAGGTCTTGCCATAGGTCACAAACAACCTGAAGGCATACAACAACAATAATACCTACCCCACAGAGGTGATATGAATAAGTTGTTTTTGAGTCTGGAAAATAAGCCAATCGGCTGTCCTGGATGGAAAATTGCTCTCTTTCTGAAAGAGCAGATGCGCAGTCCAGAGGTGGTCCTGGATTAATCACAGTCATCTCAAGGAGCTTTGTTGGCTAGGAATTCTTTTTACCAGCTTTACTGTTTCAGTAGCTGCATCCAATAATGGACCAGGCCTAGTTATGGGGACCAATAGACAAGCTTTTGAATGAAAACTACTTTGGAGCAGTGTGCAGTGGGAGAGGATATTGTCTCAGTCTTCTTATGCTGAAAACTAATTTCCCCAGGAAAGTAGTTTTCCTGGGAGAAACCACTTAAAAGACTGAGCTTATTCTACATTTATAATACTTTTGTATATAGGCCTGACATGTATACTTTCATTTATAGAAAACTATTGTACTGTCCTACTGTTAGTCCTGCCTAGAATAGATCAATCAAATCTATGGGATTTACCCTGTGTGTAAACTCACCATTCAACAATTAGTTAAGTGGGTGTACTCTAAGTGAGACTAACCGAGAAAATGTAGTCTAATGTTGTCAACTACTGTCAAATGAATGCATGACCTTTGAAATGGTACCATCATGAGGAAGGCTGTAGTCTTGTTCTTCTGGCCTTTGGGAATTGAATCTAGCTGCCTCTGCCCTTCCCTAACAGCACACACTTACAAGTGTCTAATTGCTTTTTTGCAGGACTTCATTGTGACAGTGGTGTTTTCATTCTTGTGGCTTGTGGGTTCCTCTGCTTGGGCAAAAGGACTTTCTGACGTGAAAGTTGCAACTGACCCAGATGAAGTGCTCTTACTGATGTCAGCTTGCAAGCAGCAGTCTAATAAGTGCTTGCCTCTGCGCAGCCCTGTTATGTCCAGTTTGAATACTTCAGTTGTAAGTATCACTATTTTCTTTTATTCCATGAAAGAAAGAAAAAAGTCAGTCTCTACCACCAGTGGAACTGGTACCATCCTCTGTTGCCTCATACTTAGGTGTTCCCAAAATTTAATCCAAAAGATTTGGCAACCCTGTGGAACAAAGTATTGGAAATCCTATAACCTATTGGAATTAACTGCATTATAACCTTATTGAAAAGGTAAAAATGATGTCACATCTGTTTGGCAAATGTGAATCTCCATGAACATGTGGAGACCACCTTTTGAAAACCACGAGTCAAGAAAAGCATGTCCTTGTTAGAAGTCAACTCTTTGAACAAGTGATATTCAAAAGCATTCATGCAATTTCACACAGGTTAAACTGAAGAACCAAGTGCTAAGGATAAAGACATGTCACTACAAAAATATATTGGGTCAGCAGAAGATGGTTGTTTCTTTGAAATAGAATTTGCGGTTGCAATTGCCCCAAAAATATACACTTCCTTGAAATCTCTTAGTTAAAATAAGCACTCAAGAGACAAAAACAAAGTAGCATTCTTTAAAAAATAACATATAAGGTTTACTAACAAACTTCTTGTATATATTCACCATACCAGTCCATAGTCCAGTGTCTTTAAACATATAGATATAGTCCAAACTGTATAATTGTACTCACTGAAGTCTGAAAGGAGACAAACTTCATCACCCTCCATTGAGGTCTAAAAGCATACTAAATAACAAAAATGGAGTCCTGTGTCTGAAGCACCACCCACACCAGTCAAACTGGCAAACCAAAATGTATATGCAATATAGGTTAACAGTTTTACACAGTTACAAACAGTTAGTGGAGGCTTGGAAGTTTGCTATTTCCAACACAAAATAACACCAGATGCCAGGTAATAACAGCACCCTTATGGTTCTTCCTCCAGGAGTAATGCTATTAGCTCAGTTAGGAAGAGATAAAATGTCACAGCCAAGTAGTTGAATTAATGTTCATTCTGCTTTTTCTTCAGGTCTTTGGATTCTTGAACTTTATACTCTGGGCAGGGAATATTTGGTTTGTTTTCAAGGAAACTGGCTGGCATTCTTCGGGCACGAGATACCCTCCAGACACCATGGGAAAACAACCCAGCACCTATAACCAAGGTGGCTACAATCAAGATAGCTTTGGTCCAAGCAGTGGCTACAACCAACAGGGAGGCAGCTTTGGCCAGCAAACTACATACGGCCAAGTGGATGAATTTGGCCAACAGCAACCTAGTGGCCCAACATCATTTGCTAATCAAATTTAGCATTTGCAGAGTTTGGAGAGTTCTTGAGTGTTATATTTGTGAAAGTTCAAACACAGTGGCAGGCAGCACATTTCTGAAGTGTTTAAGTAAATATGTCAGAATTTCCTCTAAATCAAAGGTTTACGGGTGTTCACCATGGAAAGCGGGCTGTGGCTCTTGTTTGTTCATACATGATGCATCTTCTCCTTGTGAATAGATGATTGATGATATATTCATCACAGGTGTGAATTGGAGTAAATAATTGTTTTATGTACTGTATAGAAACCTTTAACGGTAGTTTTGTATGTGTATGGTAGCAGCATTTTGTAGCCTGGAGTCTGTAGTATAAATTATGCATAACACAATTAAATTAGCATTAGGACTTCTTCTACATTTTAGTGAAAAGAAAAATGTATTTTCTTATGATTTCTGATTAATCTATCATAATGCATGCACTGCAACTCCTCTGTTTTTAACATTGCCTGTCTATGACAGTTTGTTTGTCTAGTTCAATTTTTAATGTTTTGCTGCTGGAGAATTTTGTTTGGCGTTCTTTCTGATTAGCAAATTTGCAGTGTGTCTTAGTGCATGAAGCTGCATAATTCCACAAAAGAATGTTATGGACTGTGGAAATGGGATTTATTCCGTATCACCACTACTCTTTTTAATTGGTTTGCTTGTTTAATATAACGTTTTAGATGCTGTTCTCTATGTATGCCTATTTTGTATATTTTACAGAGTTCAATCAATGGCCTACCCAAATCCCGAATACAGCATATAATTAATACTGTTTTCCTCCAAAGGACATTCAGAAATATCTGCTGTAAACAGACCATTTTTTTCTGTTTAATCAAGCACAGTATTCCTTCTATGAACCCATATTTCTATTGATGTTTTGTGACTCTTTGAACGTGATCTGTGTAATATAAGGACCAAGTAACTGTGTTTACATGTTTACAAAGATATTTATTTAATTAGGGTAACAGAGGTGCAGATATCAGTACAGTGAAACTAAGTGGGGGGAAATCCCACATCGATAGCTCGTGCAAAACACTACAAAGAGTAGCTTTTGCCTATATTGCCACTGATGATGAAGAATGTTTTCTCTCTCTATGCTGTCTCAAATCTGTCCAAAGTCGGTTCAGTCCAGCCATTCAAATGACTAATGGATTTGGTGCTATCTGTAAGTAGGAGGAGAACGTCAAGTGAACAATATCAACAATCAGGAACACAGGGCCAGTTCCTTTATAAGGGAGCATAACTGAGAGGGCCTGCTGATCTCAGATTGTGACTAAACTTTTCTAAGGGAGAATTTAAAGTTTCCATTCCACTCTAGTTCTGTAGGGAGTTCCCTTTATCTCCAAGGGAAGAGAAAATAATCAAACATCAGCTGCTAGAGGATAATTCATCCCTTTTTCCAACAACAAACAGAAGCCCACATACTTAGCACTCAACATCCACTACAAAGCAGAACCTAGGTTGAGTGCAATGTCTCCTGTAATTTAAAAAAACCCTGAATTTTAGTATTCATAGTTCTGTAAACAGAGTACTGGGCTGCTCCCTGAAAATTCTGCAATCTGGCATAACTGACCAAAACATTTCTTATCTAGCCAGATTAAGTGTTTGTGCTCACTGGTGTATGCTTTAATGTGCATATCTAACATCAAGGTGGGAGTTACAAGCAGAATTTTTTCATAGTTCTATTTAACTGATTCATACCTAGAGTGACAAAAAGTTGACACCTGTTCAGGAGACAACAGTAAAGAGGAGGTTCATTTTGGCCTCCCTTTTTCTTACTCCATTTGCAGCCTACAGAACACACACCACTGGAGAATAAAAAACTGAACATCTGCATTTCTAACTAAAAGTGTATTCGTCTATAATATCATTGTATGAGCTGTAAATGTTCAAAGCATCTTTTAGCATAAAACAGCATAGTCACTTAAATGATTGTTGTAACCAATGTATGGCTGCTCAGTGGATGAATCAATATTGTGATATATCTATTTGACCCTAATAAATAAAGGTTTATTGCATACAATGCTTGGTTTTGTTGCAACTCTGTAAGCTGGAGTGTAGCCCCAGGGGCACCATGTCTCTTTTTGAAATCCTTGACTCCTTTAGATGGTCCATTCTTCCCATTCCTACGTCTGGATTACTCTGTTAAAAGGAGGAGGTTCTGGAATTGTCCCTAAGACATATTTAGGGGCAATTCCTTCCATAACTTAACTTTTTCCCAAAAAAATGAAAAAAAAATATTTTGAGTAGGTGGCAGAAAACCTAGGTGGCTAAAAATGGATTGCATAGGATGGCATGGAGTCCATAGGAATCAACTTCCCTGTCCCATGGGATAATGTTATAGCTATCATTGGACTGGTTGGCCCAAATCCACCTCTGCATCTCAATGAATGATGTTCTTAGTCTGTGTCTATCTAGGGTGATATCACCAAATGCCTCCCCAATCTCCTCTAGTCATCAACAAAAATTGAAAAGAAGTGGCAAAACAATGAGCCACTGCAGAAGGGGAAAAGCAGAGCCTGTTTTCACAATGACAACAAATATATATAACTAACTGTCCCCGACTACAGGTTGCTATGGCCCAGTCTGGTTAAATGGAAATGAAAGAAAAGAGAAAGAGCAAGTTTCTAATATATTTAATTTCACAATGCTTGTGGGTATACAGTATTTGTGGTTGTTCTGCTGTCTGTGCAGATACACAGACAGCGGAACTTGTCTAGTTTGCTGACTCTAGAACATGCAACATATAATTGTCCATGAGAGAAGCAATCTGTGTCTAGATCTGAACTGCACATTTCTAAAGATTGGCCCTGAGCTTTGTTGATGGTGATTGCAAATGCCAATCAAATTGGGAATTGCAATCTCTTAAAGAGAAATGGCATATCCATTGGAATCATAAGAATGTGAGGAATGAGGACATTTTCAACCCGGAATATCAAGGCAGATAATCCACAATGTCTGCTTTGTACTGGATTATATGCCAGTGTAGACTTAGGGCCCTTCCTTGCAGCCATAGAACCCAGAACATCAAGGCAGATACTCCACAATAACAATAATATAATAATAACTTTATTTTTATATCCCGCCTCCATCTCCCTGAAGGGACTTGGGGCCGCTTACATGGAGCCAAGCCCAATCAACAAGGTTAAAACATAACATATTTAAAATACATAACATGCATATGAAACAACATAAAACAACATTATAATAGTATATAAAACAAGCATCAGAAACAACAACCAATAGTATAATTAAAATCTCATTGTGGGTGGGCTGGTGTACAACAGTTTAGGATGTAGGGCTAGTGAGTAAAGTGCATAGGTCTTATAGTAGCAATAAGGATAAGAGCAATTTAGAAGGATCATTTTAACTTTATATACTATGGACAGATTTGGGACCTTGTGGGGTCAGCTATCCAGGGAATTGTCTACTCAAATGCACAATGGAACATCCACATCTTTAGATCTTTACAATGACTGCTTTGAACTTGGTTATCTGAGTTCAGACTGCCATGTAACCCAGTTCAATGTGGATCATATACAGCTGTGTAGAAAAGGCCTAAGGAAAGACACAGGGCACCCAAAGGAGCCCCACTGAAGTAAATATTTATTATTTAATTTATTTATTTGCAGTATTTATATACCTGGGGAGATTCAAAGCAGTTTACACAAAAATAATGACAAAATTCAATGCCTTATATACATAAACCAGACCTCTATCAACAACATATAATTAGCATAAAATCTATAGGACAAATCACCATAAGATAAAATGACATTTAAAACATAAAATATAAGAATTAAAACACCTAATAAAAGCATTAAAATCACATTATCCAACTCATAGACTGGGCCATTTCAAATATCGATTGTACATATTCCATATTTGCTTCTTGTACTGCATTACTAGTCAAAAGCTTAGTTCCATAACCATGTCTTTTTCTGTTTATTATTTCTAAATAATAAACATACAGTGGCATTTCTGAGGACGGAGGTGGCAATGGAGGAGGGAAGGAGAGAGGATGAGACAATGACTGATAGCAAGTGATTTTTTTAAAGGGGGGGACACATTTAAGTTAGGGAAACCCAACAGAGGGGGAATGATGTGCATGCCCACGCAGCCAAATAAACACACAGAGCCCAAGAGGTGAGGCCTGGCTTACCGGCCCAAAGAGGCCTGGCTGAGTGGGTGGGTGGCCAATGTGCGCTCCCTCCCTCTCTCCCTCGGGCACAACTTCTGATGGCAGCAGAGAAGCAGCATAGAGGGGGGAAGATGAAGGGGCGGCCCCAAAGCCCACCCCCACCATGCACCCCCACACAATCCTGTCCCCTTCAGGGCAGAACGAAAAGTGCTGAATCAAAGAAGGACAACCGGTTTGGCGATATGGCGGCTGGTTGGACTCCAGTGGAGCTCCGCTGAAGTCAACCTCCAACCGAAGCTAGTGGTGGCAACCTTGCCCCTGTACCGGGCCGGATTGAAGGCCCGTTCAACGCAAAGCCTCCAAAAACCCGGTCCGACGGTCTCGAGAGCTGATCCCCCTCAAGGGGACCAGCCAGTAGACCCGGGCGGGGGAAGGCAGCGGCTAGCGGGGAGGTATCTCATCCAGGGACCTGGATCGGGAACGACAGCCGACCATCGCCGCAATTTTACAAAGACGTGGAGAGAAAACTTCAAAGGTGAGCAGATTTGAATAACAGACCCCCGTGACACAGCGCGAGTTATAAAGGGGAAAGAAAGTTAGAAAAGCTAAAAAAGCTTATATAGAGAAATCACGGCTTTAAGAGAAGATTGGAGAGAGAGAGAGGAAAAGGAAAAGTCAGAGGGGAAAAGAGTAATAAATTAAGCGAGCAACAAATCAAGCGACAAGTAATAGCTCAAGTTTAAGAGTGAAAGAGCGAAAAGCAAACACAGAGAAATAAAAAAAGAGAGCGAGAAAGCGCTGTACTGTGAAGGCAGTGGCTCAAAGAAACTCAAAGCGACTCAAAAATAACTCAAAGTGACTAAAAAGAAGTAAGATCTGTGAATGAGCCTGGCATAAAAAAGAGAGCATAAAGAAGAGAGACAGAAAGAGAAAGAAAGGGGGGCAAAGATCCGAAAGGACAAAAGCCCTACCTGCCATATTGGCCTTGAAAACACTAGAAACCCTCTCAAGGCTGCACACTCGACCTCCAGCATAAACAAGGAGTCACGAGGCGCGCTCCCTCCCTCACATCGGAAGCAGCAGCAGCGTGAACGGAAAGGAAGGCTGCCTGCCACCTGCAGGGAAATCTGGGAAGGGAGAAGGCGGAAGTGGGAATCCACGAGGCGCGCTCCCCCCAGAGCAGAAAATCATGCGGGATATTGGGAAGGGAAGGGAGAAGGCGGAAGTGACATCAAGGTAAAGAGGAAGAATGAAAGAGAGAAAAGCCTAGAGAGGTAGGAAGTGCGAGGCCAACAAAGAACAAAGAGCAAGATACCAAAAGATAGAGCTAGCAAACTACCAGAAGGAAGAGAGGAGAGCGAAAATTCAGAAAAAAGGAAGGAACCAACAGACATTAATAGACACAACAGACTCAAGAGAGACCCAAGAGGAAAACTAATACACAAAAAATATATAGATATATATATTGAAAAATAACTCAACAAATAAATACAAATATATATATATATATATATATATATTAAAATAAATAAATAAATAAATAATAACAACAAGAAATAAATAAATAAAAACAATAATAAAAATATAATAACCAAAAAAAATTTCACAAATAGTAAAACAAATACAAAACAAATAAAGAACAACTGCAACTTCAGACATATTGACTCCCAGATAAGTCAATAAAAATAGTACTATATCAACCAAAACGGAAGCCAAAATATATATAAGAGGAGCTTTGAAGAATTGGTTAAAAATGACAACACCTAAGAACAAGACAGATAAAACTGATAAAATAGAAAAGATGGAACAAACAGAACAAAGGAGAGGTTCAGTATCCGGCAACCCAACAGGAAAAGAGATACTAAAGGAAATACAGAAGATATTGGAACAGCAAGAAGCATATCAAGAGAAACAAGACGCTTATCAAAAGGTTGCAGAAGATCAAAGAATGAGACTCAAGAATGACTTGACCGAGGAAATGGCAAAAATGAGAAAAGAAATTACAAACGAACTGGGAGAAATGAAAAAAGAAATGGACGCCATGAGACAGGAAATGAGGAAAAATCAAATAGACGTCGCTAAACTAGAAGAGACACAAGAAACAATCAACCAAAAACTAGAAGACATAGAAATAAGAGAAGAAAAGATTGAAGCGAAACTAGACCAAGCCGAACAGAAAGAATTAGAATACTATTTAAGATTCCGAAATATACAAGAAGAGACACAAGAAGACTTAAGAAAAATTATTGTATCAATGACAGCAGAACTACTGGAAATAGCAGAAGAAGATGCAGAGACAAATATTGGTAGAACATATCGAATAACGACGGGATATGCCAAAAAACACAAAGTAGAAAGAGACGTGATAGTACAATTCGGAAGAAAACATATTAGAGATGAAATTCTTAGGCAAAGCTTCAAAAACCCACCATACTATAAGAATAAAAAGGTCATCATCCTAAAAGAACACACCCAATCAACAATCCAAAGAAGAAGAAAATATAAGGAACTGACTGAAGAACTCAAACGACAAAATATCAGATTCAGATGGGAGAGAGGAGAGGGCCTGATGGCAACTTACAAAAATGAGAGGATATGGATAACTTCGGAGGAGAAAGCGAACGACTTCTTAAGAACAATAAAGATGAACAAAGAAGGAGAAGTATATCAAGTCGGACTAGGCCTACAGACAAAAAGGAGCCGAACGGACTCCCCGGAAAAAATAGACGAGACCCCCACCTGCCTAACACCGAGTCTGGAGAAGATACCAGAAAAGAATGAAGAACATGGAAAGAACAGTCAAATGTTATAACCAAAATATCAATGGATTAAACTCCCCGAATAAAAGAATAAGAGTCCTTAACAAGATCAAACAAGGCAAA